TAACTAAAGATAAAATCCAAATTTTAGTAGATACTTTAATTTTGATTGGCTAAGCACTAAAATCAATCTAATATTATCCAATCAAATTACTAAAATTTGGATTTTACATAGTTAAAATTTCGTGAAACAGGCACCTGGAGATTACTAGTGACCTGGTTATGGTCGCAGTATATCGAACTGCGCCAACAAGTGACGGATACTTGTCTGTTCATGGTTAGGGAGGCATCAAAGTAAACTCCAATATTTTTAACACATAGTGTAAACGATATTTTAATTTGATCAAAGTTTAGACAGTCACGTTCTACATTCTGTCGGAAGTTTTAAGGGACCGATGATCATAGATTCTGTTCTGACTTCATTCAGTTTCAAGATGTTGGTCATCCATGCCTTCCCAGAAATAAAGCATCGCTCCACCTTGTTAAGCATACCATGCTGATTATCGAGGGAGCATTGAACAGAGAAGTGGGTGTCATCAGCATAAAAGTGATACACCCGGGTGACACAAAAAAACGTTCATCAATAAAAATCGAATAACTTCCAAAATTTTATTTAGATTAACACGAAAATTCAGCTACATTAGGTTAAGTCTATGTAGCAGACATCTCCAAAGTTTCAAGTCTGTGCCACAAAAACTCTTTGTTTAACTGGCGCTCAAAAAATGTGCTCTAAATCAGCTCCCCGGTGCTGCAAGCACATTTGGATCCGGCGGGCAAAGTTCTCGATGACCCTCCCACATTCTTCCCTTGGGATCGCTTTTATTGCTGCTGTGATTGCTGCCTTCAGATCAGTGATAGTCTGGGGGTTGTTGCCATACACCCTCTCCTTAAGGTATCCCCACAGATAAAAATCTGGGGCGTTCAAGTCCGGTGAATGCGGCGACCACTCCGGGTCACACCTGCGGCTGATCAGTCGGTCAGGGAAACGCTGCTGTAGCCATGCCAATGATTCGTTTGAGGTGTGTGTGTGGGGGGGGGGGTGGCACCATCCTGCTGGAACCACTGGAGGTCCCTGACGACCCCTCTTCGTTGACCAAGTGCTGTCCAGAATTTGCCAAGCACCTGAACATATCGCTCGGTTGTCTAGAGTGTGATTGTCTGTTAGTATCTTTACGATTGAGGTTATAAACAGTCCCATGGGTTCGGAACTTGTTGACCCATCTGTTGATCATTGTATAGGCAGGAAATTCACGACATCCAAACCGTTCTTTGAATTGCAATTGAGCCGCGTGGATAGAATTCAGCCGAAAATAGGCCTCAACTATAAATGTCTTTTGTTCAGTAGTCCATGGCATCTCGAAGTTGAAATTTTCTAAACTTTTAGAACATTAATTCTTCTTGGTAAATCTGAAAAATAAAAAGAATTGATTATTTCAAAAGTTATTCAAGTTTAGGTGATGAACGGGGGGGGGGGGGGGTTGGATGGCTGAATTGTTAGCGTGCGCGCGCTGTATCATAAAGTCTGTCATTGAGTCGACTGGCGTGGTTTCGAATCCCTCGTTGTACGTGACAAGGAGTAGGGTCGCCTGTCCAACCTCGTGGGTTTTCTCCGGGTCCTCCGGTTTCCTCCCACTGCTAAAGACCCCATGCGCAAGCGAATTATTGAAATAAAATTAAACCATATGTTAGTCCCGAAATGACCTAGTTGTGTCGAGTGGACGTTAAACCCCATTTCTAGATCTAGATGATGAACGCTTTTTTTGTGTCACCCGGTAGAATGCCTGATGTACTTGTTATACAAGGGGGGTTGGATGGCTGAATGGTTAGCGTGCGCGCGCTGTATCATAAAGTCTGTCATTGAGTCGACTGGCGTGGTTTCGAATCCTCGGTTGTACGTGGCAAGGAGTAGGGTCGCCCGTCCAACCTCGTGGGTTTTCTCCGGGTCCTCCGGTTTCCTCCCACTGCTAAAGACCCCTACGCGCAAGCGAATTGTGTAAATAAAATTAAACCATATGTTAGTCCCGAAATGACCTAGTTTGTGTCGAGTGGACGTTAAACCCCATTTCTCTCTCTCATTTATTATACAGCCTTATGAATTAGGCCCCGTTTACACTTGGCCGCGATAAGCGTGCCGTTCTCGACACGGTACCAGAGTGACACTATGGGGACAGATGTGACATTATAGATGTGACACTTTCGTCTATGACTTTCTTCGACTTCACGTTGTGGGATCAATTATTTCAATCATCAATTAACTGACTCTGGAACACCGTTTATGTTGTTACTAGGTTTTTATAATTAAACAAATACAACAAACTACCAAGTTATGATAGTACTTTTCCAGTTATTAAATTATCCACGGTTTGAGTTTAATATCCTTTCTAACTCGGACCTAATGGCCTAAACGTGGCAAGAGCCACAATCTTCTTGCTAGTTCTACATAAGGTTTGCGCTAGGATGATGTGTTCACCCTAGCCTCTAAGCCGAGGAGGCTATGGGTATGTTCCCCTGAGGTCTGAATGATGGTCTGAGGGTAAATCAAATGAGCTCTCTCCTAAAGAGGAAGTATAACGCGTCATCTATTAGGGCGGGACAATTACCATTTTTGGGTAAGTGTTATATACATATAGGCACTATTTTACGTCAACCTATTCTAGTTAATTGTACTAATCCGTGCACGAGATGACTGGACTATAGTACCCTACTTCCAGCAATGGATACTGACATAACGTCGGTAAGTTAGTCTAAGATAGTAGTAGAATAATGCAAGCTACTTCATTACCCAAGTTTTCGTCACACATCATTTAAGTAAAGAATTTCTATACTAAACAGAACACGTTTCTTAATAATAAAATAAACCCTATAGTATTATAACACGCCCCTTTGCAATGCGTTAAATAAGCAATGTTGCTTTATTAACGCCTATTATGTGACATGCAATAAATACAATGCAATATCAATACTTAAAAGCTCTAAATATGTCCATTAAAATTTCAAGTCCTTATGTCAATAAGTTCACTGTTTGTAAATTTTGGTGATCCGTTAACACTTCTTTCATTTCCTCTTTATATATGCCGGAATTCCTCTGTCTGGTTCGACGTTGATGTGCGTTAAGATAAGGTACATGTATATTACTTCCGTAACCGACCAGTGTACTGACTCAATTAGACCACTAATTATTCAATTACATTAACATTAATTTATAACATTTATTTAAATATTAAAGATACATTATGGGAGATAAGATAACGAGATTGCAGTTCTCGCTATAATAGTTAAAAACTAGATAGTGTAAAGGTAATTTGCTGAAAAGTTCAGTCAAATTGATCCACTATGAGCCGAGAAAGAAGCGGGTGAAATTTTGGCATAGTCTCGGTCATCATTACTAAAATCATTAATATAAACAGCTTAATCTCGATTATCCGCTTTTTTTGATTTAATTATCAACGGCCGTTAGCGGCATATAGGAATCTAATAAAGCCAACATCGAAGGCTAGCCTTGACATCGAGAGTTTATTATGGTCTGGATAAGTTAATTAATGTCTAATTGATAATTTAGATAACATTTCAGGCCTAAAGAAAGACTTGTAATAAGCAGATTTTGCTCTTGCATGCATAATGCATGTTTAATTGGATACGGTTATAATTTCATCCTATTCATACCCATATAGGAAGAATAGTTGTTTTGGAGTTTTGCGTCAAACGTGCAAACCCTCAATTTCCGAACTTTCTTCCTGCCTAGACCGGCATACTCCTCGCAGTGTTTCGCTTGATTAGAGCTAATCCCACTACTCACTACTGTAAACAAAGCAAATTCTTGTTCTAAATTATGACTGGTCAATAGTCCGATTATTAAGAAAATAATAAAGAATCGCGAAATGGGATAATATATGTAAAAAAAAAACCCACAATCTCTGAAAAGAGTAGCCTATATTATGTCCTTAAATTCCAGAATCTCCGTGGACTGCGCAGGGCTACAGACCATGGCCAAAAGTAAACACTCGGACGAAGGCAGAGATCGACACCTGTCTGTTTCTTATGAAGAATGTGATTTAGGAAGCCAATTAACCGTCGGGCCGCTTTTCTATTCAAATCAACTGTGGTCTGATTACGCATTGGAGAGTTCTCTTTTGTGAGAAAATAGCTCTTCAATATCGAGATTTTAAAAGCCCCCGGAAGGAGTCGTGGCTCTACCACAGAAGTTAGTTTTATATTAGAAATTTAATGTTCAGAAAATTACGTCAGTTTATTTTCGATGCGGCATCCCCCTACCCCGCGGTTTTTTTTAAATACATGTACCGCCGATGAGTTTTTAACTGTTGTGCCTCTAATTAGTTCCACATTTTCCAAAATTGCCAGTATGGTCGATGTTGAAATGAATTAAAATAATTATGATCAAAAACCCTGCAGCGGGACAGTTAAAGCGATAATTTCATATTTTCTAAAAAAGTCAAAACATAATTATTTCTATGTCTTTTGCTCAATAGGTTATCAACCCACTAGGCCTATTATACGACCATGGGCATTATTTCCCACCCTTAAAAATCATTGACACAGGAAATAATAACACAATTACCTCTCTTGTTTTCCTATTGCCTCCTTGCATGAGCTGCCTTCAAACGTTGGAATTTGAAGTTGAAAATGATATTTTTGCTAAGTTCTCAGCATTTATATAATAAAGAACAAATAAAAAAGACGAATTTATTTTCAAGATAACACTATAGGCCTACAGCCAATTTTTTTTTTTTTTTTTTTTTTTTTTTTTAAATTGGTCTTTATTTATATCTCCTGTCAAATCCCCCAACCGCCTTTAAAATTTCAAAGGAAGCTGTATTGTCTCTTTTTGTCTGTTTCTTTTATAACTAGCCTATAGCCACTACCAAATTTGTCCTTCGTAAAATAGTTTTGATTCTTGAGTCTTCGACAGTAGGCTACAAATAAGACGCACTCAAATTATTTCTTGTAGATCAACAATGTGATAGTTGGAAGTTAAAACAAAATTCAAATATATTAATATAACATACCGAATATTTAAAAATTAATGCACTACCTACTTCACGAAAATATGGAAAACCTGTCAATGTGTTGTCATTTAGGCCTATCTTCAAAATTGAAAGCCGTGACAGAGGTTCAATAAACATAATGATCTTCTAATTGATTAGTAATGAAGCATAGTTTTATATAGTCATTTAAATAAAGGTATTTATGATAAGTGTGCAGAATTTATGGGGTGTTATAAATGAAAAGATAGTTGTCATATGCATTTCAACTTACAATGCCTGCTGACCCGACTTGGGTTAGGTTGTCCAGGACAGTGCTCTGCGTCGGTAAAGTCAAGGTTCGTGGTGGGAACTGTTTTACAGTAAGATTCGACAATCACAACTGCACACAGAGATCCATCTACCTCTTACTTAGACAAGCAGAGCTAACTGTAGACAGACGGCCTAAGTTTTGGATGTCACACACTTGCACCAGTAAATTTACCTTACTACACTTGTAATGTATATTATAAAATTAAAATTATATGATATATTAAGAGAACATGAAAGTAAATTTATAAACAATCAAACTTTGCTGTTTCACAGAATGAATAAATTGAGTACCGTAAACGAATAAAATAAGTAGGCCTACCATGTAGATCTATAAATAGACTTACAATGAAAAGTCATGATATGTGAAAATTTCGGCATAGATAGGGTGACTTGTCATTTTCTGTGGATTTTGAAGCACATACTGCCTCTATAAAGTCTTGATTGAGGAAGGTATTTATTTACTAAAGGGACAATCATGGAGATAACTAGTTTTTATTATCTGTCACTGTCAGGTTATGACAGCTGAGTGTAAAACAGTTCCCCGGTAAAAATTAAAATCTATACGATATAGATATAGTATGAATTTATACAAGGAGTGGTAAATCTTCTAAGGTAGTATAGGCCTACCGTTCTGAAATTGTGTATCGGTATCAGGCATGGCCGCAGATCTTATTACATTTTAGGGGGGGGTGGAGGTGGCGGGCGGAGCCTGACACACGGCTTGCGCCGTAGGCGCACACCGTTCTGGGGGGGGGGGGTTCTGGGGGTCCTCCCCCCCAAAATTTTGAAAGCAGGATGCCTGAAAACGCTATCTGATACCATTTCTGAGCATTCTGCAGAGATGAACGTACCGAGAAATTGCCGGTCACGGATGAAAATGTGATGAATAATTTCTCAAGTGGCCAGCTCTGAGCATAAGCTGCTGAGGTCATGAAGAGATCATTCTCAGATCTGGGTTACATCAAAGACCGGGCATTTTTGAACAAAGGGGAAATATCCTCAGTCTGAAAATAGGACTCAAGTTTTGAGAGACGCTGACAGAGTACGGTGGGCGAAGGCATACGCCACGTGCGCTACAGGCGCCCATTTAGCGGGGGTCTTGGTGCCTCCCTCGGAAGATTTTTTAAAATTAGGATGTCTCAAAATGCCATCTGAGACCATTTCTGGACATTGTACATCGGCATGTTCGGAAATATAGGCTACATTTCCCGGGCTAAAAATAAGACTTTTGAAATTTTATCGATGCATTTTTCGGGGGGGGGGGGGGGGGGGGGGACGAGGCATATGAAATCCCCCCCAGTAAAAATCCAGGGGGGGCCCACCCCATCCCTCCCGGGATCTGCGGCCTTGGTACCAGGTGTTTTCATGTCTCTAAATGTTTCTGAACGGTCTGTGTCTGTGACTTTTATATCCTTTGGTCCCCGCCCTCATTTTCTGGGAGGGATCTCTACCCATGTAATTACAATGACATGTATTGCAACCTTGGTGAATATGTCTTGTAACATAAGTAATAATAATGATATACTAGTATATTAATACATACCATATAAATTAATTACACAATGCTCGAGTTTGTCGATTCACTCTATGATCAACAGTAGTTACTTTCACGTCAAAATGCTAACAAACCTGTTGTACCCTTTGTTATTGTAACCTCTTAATAATATTTGTATTTCAGAAATGTCTGTGTTTGGATTTATAACTTCGGAACTCACACGGGGGTATCGTCTGGAGAGAGATGAATCCAAATATGCTGAAAGAAGAGAAAGGGTGTATACTTTTATGAAAACTCCCAGAGAATTGGAAAAGGTACATGATTCTAACAGCTTTTAAAGGAAACCGTAAATATATAAATTTGAAATACTTTAAAATGAAATGGATTTTAACGTCCTACTGTTCTGCACCAACTGGGCTAATGAAGTCGGGCATATGCCATACAGTGTACTATGAGGGAAATTTTGCCTGGACAGCGGCATTATGGCCTACGCTTATATCATATTCCAACTGTCAAGGGTTCTTTTATGTGCATGTCAATGTGTACATGGAACCTCGGTTTTTGTTTCATCCAACGACTATGCATTGTGCCTTGCCAGGCCCTCTTTCCCGCACCACTGACAAGGAGGAACCACATTGGAAAATCACCACAAAAATTCCCAGATCAAAGCAGTACTTTGAATAGACCCACAGAGGTGACCCAGGAAAACTAGAATTTGGCGTCTAATCAAATGTTATTTATAATTTATATATGGTACAGTTATTATTAAAGCAATTGAATAGCTACTAACTAAGATTATACACTTACTTTTATTGACTAGAATGTGAGGGAGTAGAATTTTCCATGACATATACAGTGTTATTTATGTAAATGATTATTTTTCTTTTAGTTTTGTGCATATGGTTTCTTTCAATGTGTGGATGCCTTTCTCTTCTTATTCACATTTCTTCCATTGAGAATATTTATGGCACTTGTTAGACTATTTACACACCCATGTGGCTTCTTTTCTTCTGGGTAAGAAATTTAATCTGTATGTATGCAATAATTAATAATATTTAAAATTTTACCAAGCAAATGTATTAACATTATTAATCTCTTATTAAACAACTCAATATGAACATGAAATGGGAGAAAGAAATGAACGTGTTATATCAACATTAATTTTATTATGCATATTTTCTCTAATTTATAACAACAGATTTGCCTGATAGTTAAATTTATCTGGCCCCAACTATCTTGCCGAATAGTTTAATTTTCTATTTATGGACCAAAACCTTCATATCATACTGCAATATGATGATATGTTATGGCAGGGAATATTCATTTTGGAACTGTACAACTCCTAAAATGACTTGGAAGTTGTGTTCGACTAGCTGAAATCTGATCACCTTATTTTGGCCTGGCCCTTTGTTTGATAGCCCTTTATTTGATAGCCCTTTACATGATCTTAAACATGATTATATTCACCTAGCAAATTTTCATTTTGAATTACTACACCACTACCATCATTTTGTTTAAGATTGTCAACCGACACCTTAACAATATTTAATTTCTATCGTCTAACAGCAAGTCCAAACTGGTATCCAATATATGTTTATAGTTTTAATCGTCAAGATTATCACTATCTAAAGAACAATTTTGACTTGTTATTTTTATATGCCCACATTGTTATATATTATAATTGCCCCTCATTTTCATTAATAAGTCATTATCCGATTGACTTAAAATTATACATGCCATGTTTATGTCCATGAGACGATAATTACTGTATGTAAATCAATTAAAATATATGGAGAGTACAGCAAATACAGTCATTCTTTCTGGTCCTCACTGTCTAGGGAAGGGGGGGGGTGGATGGCCGAATGGTTAGCATGTGTGCGCTGTATCATAAAGCCTGTCATTGAGTCAACTGGCGTGGTTTCTAAATCCCCAGTTGTACGTGACAAGGAGTAGGGTCGCCTGTCCAACCTTGTGGGTTTTCTCTGGGTCCTCCAGTTCCCTCCCACTGCTAAAGACCCCTACGCGCAAGCGAATTATGGAAATAAAATTGAACCATACGTTAGTCCCAATATGACCTAGTTTGTGTTGAGTGGATGTTAAACCCCATTTCTCTCTCTCTCGCTCTCTCTCTCTCTCTGTCCAGGGAACGTTTGACGGACAAGGTCGAAGGTAATATATTGACACATGGCCCTTAAATTTGTAAAATTTTTGATAATGGTTCAAGTAGTTTGATCTGGTAATGGATATGTCATAAAAAAAAAGTAGCAGAGGACACCTCCTTAATGACCCCACACCGGTGATGGTTATGGAAGCAAAAGGCCTCATATAGATATTATATTTTGACTTTTAGATCTGGAAGATATTTGGAATCAGCTCAGATATGTGACTTGTTAAAGGGGCTAGTGTTTGTTATGTGTTGTTTTATTGTCAACTATATAGATACATCTATGATGTATCATCTAGTCCGAGGACAAGCTGTCATAAAACTTTATGTCCTTCATAATATGTTAGACGTAAGTAGATCTATTATCTAAAAACTTTGCAGGCCACATTTTCAGGTTTGATGGCCTAATTTATTAAAGTGGCATTATGGAAAATTAGATAAAGAGCTGACAGTTCTCACTATAATAGTTAAAAAATAGATAATGTAATGGGAATATTTTGAAAATGTTAGTCAAATTAATGCTCATTTTAAAAACACTGTAGCCTTGATTCTCAATGTTACTGTAATAAACAAAGTCTCGATTATCCATTTTTACGGTTAATCATCAACAGCTGTTGGATGGCAGATCAGATTCAAATCTAATGAAAATCGGACCCATCAGATGGCATCGAGAGTTGATTATGGTCTTGTCATGTTAATAAATGTCTAATTAATAGTTTATATAACATTTCAAGCCTAAAGAAAAACCTGCAATAGGCAGATTTAACTCTTGCATAATGTATGTTTAAGAAAATGAAAGTTTTCAACACTTCATTGGAAACAGATTTTAGTAAAGGACCCTGAGAAGGAAATCTAACATTGATCTGAAACTCAAATTGTCTATAAAGATTATATATTATTTAAACTTGAGTGATATAAAATGTATTTCAGGTAGCTGATAAATTGTTTTCAGGATTTGGACAAGATATATTAGATGCCATGTTTTGGACGGCTACAGAACCAAGAGGTAGAAGAAGAGAACATGTTGGAACTTTGCCACATTTTATATTATCTATTATTTATGTCAGTATCCTTTTGATAAACTTTGATAGAGAAGACTTGTTAAGTCTCCTGATTAGATTCTTTCTTATGCCACAATGAGCATTCCCATCAAGTTTATTTCTGTATAGTGTCCTCAAAAGGTGTTGAGACAGTTAGGTGTTAGAAATTCACGATCCTAAAATTTGATTGGGTTAATTTATTTGCAAAATGAGAGAGAGAGAGAAATGGGGTTTAACGTCCACTCGACACAAACTAGGTCATTTCGGGACTAACATATGGTTTAATTTTATTCCAATAATTCGCTTGCGCGTAGGGGTCTTTAGCAGTGGGAGGAAACCGGAGGACCCGGAGAAAACCCACAAGGTTGGACAGACGGCCCTACTCCTTGTCATGTACAACCGGGGATTCGAAACCATGCCAGTTGACTCAATGACAGGCTTTATGATACAGCGTGCACATGCTAACCATTCAGCCATCCCCCCCCCCCCCCATTTGCAAAATGAACATTCCACCAAGTTTTAGAAGTTTGTATCGAGATTACCTTGCCATCAAAAACTTTTTAATTTTCCATAGTGTTCTTCCTTATGACCAAATGAAAAATCTTATTTGAACTATTATGTGTAGGGTGTTCACAAGAAATGTTTAACTTGACCACTCATTTTGACATTTTGAATTGTCTGACTGTGATCTTGTACTGTTCCTTGTATATTTGCTGGGAAGTTATTCTCCACTACCTGTGATCATTGGGTTATTTGTTGAGGTGATATCTATTAGTGAACTTGATTCAATTCTGGATCATTGTGAAGTACCTTTGTTTTTATATGTGTTTTTTCTCTTAACTATGTTTTAGTTATTCATACATTGATTATATTATTTCAAGCAGCAGTTTTAAATGTAGCTTTTAATTCTCACAGTAAAGCTTTATTGACTATCATGATGTCAAATAATGTAAGTATGTATAAAGACAGCAATAATATCTAAATGAAACCTTATGATTTTACAAAATTTTAATATAAGGATTAATAATAAATCGAAATTGTTATCATGTATTATTGTACTCCATCTAGGGCTTTACAAAGACCCGTGGATTATTTACATATTAATTGAATGATTAAATATTCAGTATTTACAAAGACATGCTGACTTGCAAATTAGACCACCCGTGATAATCTCTGCACAGGATCTGGTTAAAAAAACCAAAAACAAACGGGCTACTGATAATCTTAACCAACAGCTTTTGATAGGCCTCTTTAATCTGATTGAACCCATGCAAGCCAAATATTATCTACTGTTCATATTTAGATTTTGATTTATTTATTAAATGTTAAATAGATGATTTGAGTATATTAAGCTAGTGCTGGCATGACATATAGTTGGATCGATGTACAGCAATTCACTTTATTATGACACACGTATCGACTCGCGAGACACAGAATCTATGTATCGTGATTCTTTTTTATGTTTTTTTTTTGTCGCTTCAGTAACTAACCTGTCACTCTTAATTATCAATGTCGCACATTATCCATATGTACACAAACATCCTTAAATTGTTTTGGTCCTTATTTGGATCTGTCAAAATAATTGCAATTTGTGACTCCAATAAAATATCAATTATTCATTTATCCTGTTGTTTTCTTGGTAAATATTGACCTGGTTATGAATCTTGATATGAATCGTATCATAGCACCTGAATCACAATACATATCGTATCGTGACTGCAGTGGCGATACCCATCACTAATTATAGCTCAGATTAATCCATGGAAAATTTGATACTTTAATTGTAGGCATTAAACAATAATAATTAATTTTGAATATATATTGAGTTTTTTTTTCAGTTTGTTGAAATCAAAGGTAATCTGTTTAAAAGATTAGATAGAAATCATCTTTTTCATATCTCATGTGGTGATATTAAAGAAAGATTTCATTATGCAATTCTATTATCGGTGGTGTTTATTAGAAATATGACAGAATTTTCATGGAACCCAGGTAAATACCAACAATACTAACTGTTCATGATTAATGTTTTATATGAAAAAGGTCTGTACCAGAAATAGAAATGATTTATACCTTAAATTAAAGTGGTCTATGCCTTAAATAAATAAATTCAAATAATCTGTGCCAGAAATAAAAATGAATTATGCCTTAAATAAAAAAAGTTAAATAACATGTTCCATCTTTCTTGTCTATGTATTTTGTAGGGGGGGGGGGGGGGGAAATGGTGTAACACCTAACACATGCGTTTTAAATCATTAGGTCTATCATTTAGTTTCGACCAAGGGCGTGGATTTGTCATAACTTTTTTTGGGGGGGGGGACGGACGAACCCTGGAACCTGGAACATTTCATTACCAAACGAAATAAATAATTACGAATAGTTTACTGTACCAGTGTTATTTCGATGAAGGCTGTAACTATCGGTAATATGATGACGATATGGAAAAATTGACTACCTACATCAAAGCTGCATAAATATTAATTGTTCATGAAGTTAAGTGAATCGTTCTACGATCAGGACTGTTCTCTGTGAATATCTTGGCAACATGAAGGGGGTCATTATGCACCGCACACGCCCTCAAGTGGTTCTGTCGGTTTTGCGTTATGGAGTTGCGCAGCCAAGTTTAGATACGGCGCAGAGTGCTGCAGGATCGCTCGGCTGAGCAGGAACTAGCCAGGTTCAGCAGTGTGAGATGAGAAGAGCTTCGACATAAGGGAACATCTGCCCCACTTTAGGTGACATAATGAGGAACACTTCGTGCACAAGTGAAATAGATTTGGCCAAAAACTGGCGCTTGAAGAATGTCAATTCTTGTTCCAAGTCCCGATTCAGTTCCAGATACGTAGAAACAAGCTCACCATCATGTGGATATAAACCTGAAAATCTTTCCTGGCGATCAAAATCATGGGGGGGACAGAGACCTATTCGTCCCCCCCCCCTTCCCATTCTAAGGGGGGGGGGACGCGTCCCCTCCGTCCCCATCAAATCCACGCCCATGGTTTTGACCACACCTTCGTGGTTTTTCTCCGAGTCCTCTGGTTTCCTCCCTTTTTTAAGGACCCCACCGTGTTAAACCCGATTTCTATCTCTCTGTTTGGTATTTTATAGCTCTGTTAGAAGTGTTTATAATTATTGATATGCTTTATTTTAACAGATCATGTTTGGGTGATATTACCAGATGCATTGTTAGTTTTATTATCAGAATTCATCGTAGATTGGGTTAAACATGCTTTTGTATTAAAATTTAACAAAATATCATCAGAGGTAGGTGTTTTCAATTTTCTCCAAAAATTGTGACAAACTCCGACACATTTTAGTCCAGGGCAAGTTGGTCTAATGATAAATAGGCAGGTGAATTCTAGATTTAACAGGGCATTATTATGTTACCTCAAACTAATCAATCTTTACAGTCAAAATATAGCAATTCTTGCCATTCAATATATCTTGTTCAAGCAATAAACTAAATGTTCATATTCAATTTATATTTAATTGATTATGTAAAAAAACAAACTCATATGCCTTTTTTGACGAAATTTGAAATATAGGTCTATCTCCCAAAGATCTTGGTTTCTTTCGATATTGGCATGCATCGGACTATAACATCATGGATTATGGCCCCTAATTGTACGGAAAGTCTTTTTTTTAATTGTGGACACTATAGAGGTCACAATTTTCATCTGATTTTGATGAAACTTGAAATACTTGTTTATAACCCAAAGATCTTGGTTCCTTTCTATATTTGCGCATATCGGATCATAACTTCCTGAATTATGGCCCCTGATTGTACAAAAAATCATGTTTTTAGCTTGTGGTCCCTCTAGAGGTCACAGTTATTATATGATTATCACCGTTAAACCGTAATGTCGGTTGAGTTCGAATTTCAATCGAAATCGGATCCAAAACTTCCGGACAAAATGGCCACCCCTTGTATGCAAAAAAGTGTAAACATATGGTATATCAAGGTTGTGGACCCTCTAGAGGCCACAATTTTTATCCGATTTTGATGAAACTTTAAATTTATGTTTATATCACATAGAACTTGGTTCCTATTGATAATCGCAGATATCCGAACGTAACTTCCTGGATTATGGTCCCTGATTGTTCAAAAAATCACATTTTTAGCTTGTAGACCAGCTAGAAGTCACAATTTGTATTCAATTTTAAAAACTGTCTTAATATATCACCCTTACACATCAATGAGTAAAAATCTGACCGAAACTGCCAGACAAAATGGCTGCTCCTTGTATGCAAATAGTGTAAAGTATGTAATACCAAGGTTGTGGACACTCTAGAACTCATAATTTATATCCGATGTTGATGAAACTTGAAATGTATGTTTATAATCCAAAGATTGTGGTTCCTTTTGATATTTGCACTTATCGGACCGTAACTTCCTGTGTTATGGCCCCTGATTGTATGTAAAATCACGTTTTTAGCTTGTGGACCCTCTAGAGGTCACAATTTGTATCCAATTTTAATAAAGATTTAGATTTATCACTGTTACACCCTAATGACGGCTGATATCCAATTTCGTGAAAATCGGACCAAAACTGACTGACCAAATGGCGGCTCCTTGTACGCATACCAAGGTAGTGGACCCTCTAGAAGTCAAAATTGTTATCATATTTTGATGAAAATTAAAAGATCTTGGTTGCTTTCGCTATTTGCTCATATCAGACTGTCACTTCCTGGATTATGGCCCCGGATTGTTCGAAAAATCGTGTTCTTTAGCTTGTGGATTCTCTAGAGGTCACAATTTTTTATCCGATTTTGAAAAACATTAAAATATATCACCATTCCACCATAATGAAGATTGAATTCGAATTTCGGGAAAATCAAAACGAAACGAAACTGCACGACAAAATGGCCGCTCTTTGTACACAAATTGTGTAAAAGTATGTAATACTAGGGTGACCCACCATAAATAAATATCTCCATATATCTCGACAATTTCGCCACAATATTTATATATATGCCAAGCCTCAAATCAGTTTCACACAATTATAGTCACTAAATAAACGATCATGTTGTACTTAATAAGCTATGACCATTAATCATCTATAAATAATAGACTGAAAACTGGTTCCATGTGTCGTCCATAACATCCAGACACTCTTGAGTAAAAAATAGGTTACGTGCCCTTGTTTTGAAATTAGTCTCGCTTAACCAGTCTATCGACCATTCAAGGGCTGATTGACAGGTCGGGATAATCAAGACTACTTTTTTACGAAACATAACAGAAAGCTAGAACAAGAAATTGAATTTAGAAATGAGCACGTTAGCTAGCTCAACAATTGTTTTAAGAAGCTTGTAAAAGTAAAATGAAACTACTGCTAGTATCATGTTCCTGTCTAACCCGAGTGCTTCAGAGATATTATTTGTACTAAACCAAAAGATGCTGCTCTGAACGGTACAGTTAATGATAAAGCGATTTAAAAAATGAAACGAACGTAATATCTAAATCTGCTGTAATAACCAAGAAGCTTAATTTTACTGCTATTCAAAATCGTCAACAATAAATTTTTTACGGCTGTAATAGTTGATAGATTTGTAGAGAATTGCACGTGCCATGGCTATTTATAGTATCATACTGTCAGAAAGTTGGCCTCGACACGGCGAATGTGCACGCTTCAGTGGTAGTCTCGAACTATCAGCGGTTGACTGTATTTCTGTAGGTGCATGGGCCACCCTAGTAATACGAAGGTTGGGGACCCTCTAGAGGTTACAATTTTAATCCCATTTTTATGAAACTTAAAATATATGGTTGTGTCCAAAAGATCTCAGTCCCTTTCAATATTTGCACATTTCAGACCATATCTTTCTGCATTAAGGCCCCTGATTGTACGAAAAATCACTTTTGTTTTTAGCTTGTTCTCTGTTCATCTCTTGCAAAATGTGAGCGTATCTTGCCTGGCAACCGCTGGTTTTTTTTCTTACAGGTTTATCAAGAATTTACATATAATTTAGCTTCTGATATGATATCAAGTAGACAAAAATCTGTAAGTATATATTATGTATTCATATATACTATACAAAAAACAGTTGAAGATAATGCTATTTTAATGTAAAAACTGTCATTTATAGGGTATAAAACATAGAGTTATTACTACTTTATTATGTACCAAGTACATTTTGCACACCTTCGTCATGCTTTACTGATAAACGACCAAACAACAGTAGATGATCAGTAGTTCTTCTGTCTAGATTGATCATTATAAACACACTGTTTAAGAAAACCCAAACCAACAGGGATATTAATGAAAATTATACCCTTTTGCAAAACAAAGCCTTCAGAAGCTTAACTGAAAGTATGTTTTATTGCAATTTGACCTTGACTTTTGAGATGGGTTGTAGGTAGGTGACAACTGGGTCATGTTGATCTAAAGTATGTAACTCAAGAAAGCTAACAACAAAACATAAATGTCTACTTTTGCGTTTTTTATTAGAGAAAATCACTGTCATCTGCTGTCACTTGGTCTAAAACTTGCTCACATGTCAGTTTTTTTCTGTCATGTATTTCGGTTGCCATATATGCCACTCAAACAAAATAATAATGTTTGATGAACGTATATCTAAATATAATATCCTGAATATAAACTTTAACAAAACTAAAAACCCAATGGGCCACATATGACCGACCCAAAACACCCAATGGGTCACCCACCTATGTTAACAATTTTTTTTTTCCCTGGAATTATACTTAGCCAAAACTTTTCCTTTTTCGTCTTTGGATCTAAGTCTTATTGTTTATTCAAATGAAAAACATGTAACTTACCTAGTTATGGTCTAAAATTGGAAAAATCTAGAGGTACTAATGTGTGTTAGCTTTGAAGAGAAGGTAGCCATGCTGAGTCATTGCTAGGAGACATCTGATATCTTGCAAAAGCATTACATCTGGTTAAATACAGAAAACTGGGATTCTGTTGTTGTAAAATTTGGAACAATAAGTTAATTTGGGTGAGGTCGTAATTAACTTGGGTCATATATGACTTTGTGGGTTTTCCAGAGTTAATGGAATGTTTATTGTGTCATCTTAATTGTACCTTTTTATTGTTCCAGGCTTTTACTGATCATTCGGATCTTCTGTCCAGAAAAATGGGTTTTACACCTCTACCATTAGGATGTTTGCTTGTTAGAGTATGTAGTAAATCATTTAAAATATCTGGAATTGTAGGAATTGCATTACTTATATGTCTATATTTATGGTAAGTTCAAATTACATATTTTTTTCATTGATTCATTTGAATTCGTTAGGTTAAAATCTTAGAAATATGTCTATATTTGAAGTAACTAAAATGAGAAAAACTAGGATGTCTCCAGATTGATTAGTGTGGTTTCATCATCAGTAGTTTAGGATGGAGGTCTTGGTTAGGAAAAGCACCTAGTTATTCAGATGGAATAAAAAAAACCGAGGTCCAGTGGACTTCAAATTAGAGTAGGCCATAAAACTGCTATCAGGGCACAATTTCCCTCATAGCACACTGCATGGTGTATATCCATCTGCATTAGCCAGGTTAAACCATTATGCATTCTTGTTGGTTTTAGCTGACATAGCTGAAGTGTGTTAATTCTATTCAATTTACTGTTGATGATTTGCATGAAAGTTAAATTGCCAGACACAAATTTGTTTTTTGATAAATGAATGAGTTGTATTATTAAATTTTAATAATATACTATATTATCCTTGCAGCCTACTGACTTCAAAAATATTAATTAGCATTGTTCTTCTGGGATATGGATCCAAGTTTTTAAAAGAAAAGGGAGATGTTCAACAATTTGATAAAGAAAGAGAGATAGACTCTCAAGTTATTCCAGCAAAAGATAAAAGGTCATCTGAATATGAACAAGAGGAACACAAGTTAGATTTTGCTTCATTGAGTGTGGGAGTCGTAGATGTTGAACCACGGTCGGATTTTGATCATTTAACTTTCAATGTCAGTAATAATTCTGATCAAACCAGCAATCTACCAACTGCTATAGATAATCTCTCTAGTGAAATGAATAATTCCCAAATGACAGAGTCAAGAACAGATTTGGAATCAGAAGTTATTATTTCACCAAGAACAGATCTGAATGGATCTAGATTTACATATACTCATGTGAAAAAAAGAGTGAATGCATCTTCTAGGACACGTTGTCTGTCTGAGAGTAGTGCTGATCAGATGATACAGGAAGTGTCACCACGTAATACATCATGCCCTCCTAGTCCAACAGTCATCACTGAGACCAGTGATACTGAAGTCAAAAAAGAGACATAAAATCAATTCAAATTGCTGAATGCTTATAATGCATAACCATTGTGTTTATTAATTTTGTGACTTGTCACACTGTCCAGTATGTGACAATCTGTGTTATTTTGTTTGTGATAGTGACTTTAATATTGTGTGTGATGATAAGTCATTGTTTTCACGTTTGGGACCATCAAAGCTATTTGTGTGTTTGTGTGATAGTCACTAGTTTGTGTTGAAGTCTCTGTCATGGGTTTCACGACAGTTACATTAATATTGTGTCTGACAGTCACAAAAAAAAATATAAGATTACTCTTACACATAATATTATAGTGACTGTCAGATACAATATTAAGATCATTATAATATTGTGTGTGACAATCACAATATAATATTGTGTAAGTTTCACAATAATATTGTGTGTGACAGTCAGTATAATATTATATGTAAGAGTAAACTTAATATGTCACTATATTATTCTTGTGTGCTGCAGTATAAAATTATGGGTGAAGTGAATATGGTATGTTTTTGTGTGATATTCACTATAATTATGTGTGGGATATTCTCTATAATTATGTGTATGACAGTCACTATAATTACTGCATGTGTATGACAGTCACTATAATGCTGTACTACTATGGTATGTGAGGGTCTGCTGAAATTAATATGAAGTATGTGAATAGTGATCATGAGATGGGTAAATAATAAGTATAACTGTGTAATGTAAAAGATAAACCACTTTGTATGTTATCACTTTGAACAATTGTTGTCCTATAGCTTATCTGCTTCTTCGCAAGCATAATAGTTAAACCTAGAGGTAAATTATTCTTTAAAAGTATAAAGAAATTTATAATGTTATAGTGCATATATATATTTTAATTGTTTACATATGTGCCTTTCTTTGTTGGAGCTTTTATCTGTGATGTCATCTATATATTTTCTAAAATCCTGATTTCTACCAATTAGTCAGATTTCTAACAGGATGTTTTTACTTTAATTATTAGTACTATTTAAACAGACAAAAAGAAGACCTATTATTAAAATTTGCATTATTTATATTAAGTATTAATAATGGCTACAAAGTGTTATGTTGTATTAAACATTCATTATCAAGAGCTAAAACTGCCTATTGCAGGTCTTTCTTTAGGCGTTAAATTATTAATGGTTCGTGCATTCCTGGAGTTTTACGTTCACTTCCACCAAGGGTGATATCGTAGACAACTTTATTGTTAATTAGACATTAATTAATTTATCAAAACCATAATCAACTTTCAATGCCATCGTTAGCCTGCAATGTTTAGTGGATTTCAATATGTCTTGTGATGGATAATTTAACATATAAATAGATAATCAAGACTTTGTTTATTTATTATTGTACCAACATTAGTAAATGAAGATCAAGGCTAGCCTAAACTTGAATTGCTAATATTCTGTTTTCATTATCTATTTTTTAACTATTATAGCGAGAAATGTCAGCTCTAATCTTACCTAACGTCCCTTTAAGAAACAAACACCCTTCGTTCAGATATATTCTGAAATTTCAAATTGGATTCTACTTACATACAACCATAACAGTACTTTGTAACTGAGAAGCAAGCTTTCAAACTGTTCTTTGAGTGATTACGTTACTATTACTGAATTATTTTTAGAATATTGGTTGGACATGGCAATGTGCCAAGGGTACATTATTCATACTAGTTGAAATTTTGGACATGCATGACGTATTTCATTGCAAAGCAAGTGTGAAATTTTGGACCCGCATGACATATTTCATTGCAAAGCATGTGTGAGTGTCTGTATTTTAAGTTGTTTAATGGTCTTGAGCTTGAGACATTGGGTAATATATTGAAACAACAGCTCAAGACTAAAGTCCCTGTATTGTTTCAATATATTACTTAATGTCTCGCTCTCGACCATTAAACCACACTTAGTTACCGATAATGCCATTAATAGGTCCATATACCTTTAAAGTATGTGAAAAGATGGACATCATTTTAATTGTGCTAATATATTTGCTGTATTAAATATGCTGTTTATATATATATGTGCAATTTGTTTTGTAACCAGATACTTAATTTTGGAATACCCATTCTGGCTGATTACTTAATCACTTTGATTATAATGGAACCTGCTTGGGTTAACTTGGATGATCAAACTAAATTAACGGTAGTATATGATACAGCTAATTACAAAAGTAAAACATATTTGAAGTATATATTATTTATTTTAATTTAAAGATATTCCTTGATAAATCCGAAATACATATTCATTGATTGCAAAAAATTTCCAGGAAAAATTTTTTGTTACCCCTTACACAATCCAAGGGCTGGCATTTACTATAAATAATTTGTGATTGATGATCACATTTAGATAGTATCCTGGTGCTTACTGTTCCATGTTCTATAACAATAAACTTGTGCCCTTATTAGGAAATTTGTTTCTATAATATTATGTGTGCTCCTGGTCATTACAAAAGGGCCTACTTTCAGAATAAGATTAGTGGTTCAAGCATGCAGGATCATATATTTAAAGTGATGTTTTAGATCATAGACTAGTACTGGTATTTATTTTAATCTTCAAGATTAGGCTAGGCAACAGCTATATCTACCAATATATCAGTTTCTGAACAACTTAGGGTCGCTGTATTGGTTTTTAAACCTACTTTATAAAAAATACAATTATACCACCCGGAAAAGGGCATTATTAACTCACAAAAAAGAAAACATTCAAAAAAAATCGGTATACCAATATTTTTATCACAGCAACACTTACCGCCATTGCTTTATTAACAGAAGGAAGATGAGAATTCAAGTAAGTTGGAAGGAAATCCATTCATTTATCAGTTGACCAAAAACCAAATCGGAATGCTCTTTATGGACTGTATAAAATGGACATTTGACGAAGAGTGAGCGGAAACACTAGGTGTCCTGGGACTATGTAACTAATAACTCACCGTATACATGTCTTCATTAGCCTGCTTGGTGCAGAAAAGTAGGACGTTAAGTTAAACCCCATTTCATTTATTTTCTTCACCAGCCACGCCGTTACTGCCCTTCGCTACTACTATATACATAGGTATTAATTTAATCGGGACGAAATATTATTTTAAGTCAAGGATGACAGGGTTTATTTAGGTAGTACCCTCTACAATCAGACCATCAAAGAGACTGTGCTATTATACACCAAGATAACTTGAAGTAATATGATTTGTCTTTTAAATATCTATGACCTTATAAGAACTGATATGATTTGTCTGTTAATTATTTATAACCTAATAAGAACTGGGTTGGAAATAAATATTATAAGGCAGTCGATCTGAATAGAAATTTTATTGATTTAAGAGATATATTCACATGACCACCCTATCAAAACAATACCAACTAACCTTTGTTCTACTGCTGCGTTTCTAGATTACCGGAATGATATCAATAATAAATTACCCTTGTTGGTGACGATTTCATTATTTGGAAAACAAAGGTTACATTAATCGACATTGATCCTAAATCTTTGTTGAACTTATATTTATTCTTGCACGATGTAATGAATTCCTACAATAATGCCAATAATCAAGGAACATATTTATATCATCACGAAAAGAGTCAGATTGCTTATATTAACATAAAAAAGAGAACATTCAAATAAAGTTTGAAAGAAAAAAACAAATCATATATTATGTTGCCAAAAAACAAATCAATATGCGCTTATAATGTACTGTAGTCAATGAAAATATGACATGCAATATTTTCATTTAGTACATTTATAGCCCTACAGTACAGTATGTTTTTTTCTTTCAACGTTTATGCGCGATTTTTTTTTAGTAAACACAATCTGATCCTTTTCGTGGTGGTTTAACTGCATTCATCGACTCGGAAAAGGTACAGGTTTAGTCACCAAGAATGCAGTCCTAGGTGGTTTAGAAGCTGCGACATTGGTAGATATGGGTTTTTGTATAGCACGAAATCATAGTTGAATTAAAGGTCAGACAACAGTAAATGTATATTATTAACAAGAACACAATTTTGCATAGATATAAAATTTATGAAGTACCCAAAGTTTAAAGATCTGACAAAAAAACAAAAAAAAAACACTATTTCATTGCGTAAGGTATATATATACTCAGCCAAATTAAAAACTTGACACTGATGAATTTCAACAAATTTTTTTTTCTGGTAAGTCAAATAAATTTTAAAGTGTTTCTAATGATAGTAAGTAGTAAGAAGCCTTTAATTTCATAAAATTGTAAAGTCACGTGGATCACGTGACTTTTGAGCATATAAAGATGAAAAACCTGAAAAACACGTGCAAACACAAACTCGTGAGGTCAATTGATGCAAGTTTGCTTAAACTGAACACGCACACGTAACTTGAACTGGAAAAACAAATTAAAATTGTTATTTTCATCTTTGTTAGAAAATGCCGTCTTTCAAATGTAGAACGTCTACGTGCTATAGGTAGGCTCTATGCTGGTCAGTCTGTGGTCACTGTTGCAAGAGCCTTTAATTGTTCACGCCAGACAATAATTAATCTTAGAATGAGAGTGCTTCAAACTGGAACTATTGCCGACCGCCCAAGGGCGGGAGCGCCACGTGTGACGTCGCTCCAGGAAGATCAAGCAATACGATTACGTCATCTTAGAAACAGATTTGTCACTGCAACCCCCACAAGTAGAGAGATGTTTGGTGAAAGGGTAACTGCACAAACTGTTCGAAATCGCTTGCAGGCTGCTGGTCTTCGAGCTCGGAGGCCCTATAATGGACCAATATTGACACCTCTTCATCGCCGTAACCGACTTGTGTGGGCCACAAGACACATAAGATTTACTCAAAGACAGTGGAATTCTGTTGTCTCTAGTGACGAATCTCGATTCACTTTGAGATTTGCCGATGGCAGGGCTCGAGTGTACCGCAGACGAGGTGAACGTTACGCTCAAGTATGCGTCAGAGAAGTTGACCGATGTGGTGGCGGCAGCGTCATGGTTTGGGGTTCTTTTTGTGCACATGGACGTTCTCCTCTTGTTGTTGTCCAAGGGAACTTAAATGCTGTCCAGTACAGGGATCAGATTTTGCATCCTGTTCTTCTTCCGTTTATGCAGAAGTTTATGGGCCTGGACTAACGTTTCAACAAGACAATGCTCGATCCCATACAGCAATTGCTACCCAGAATTTTAAGAAATGCCGGTGTCCAAGTCCTGGATTGGCCGTCGCTTAGCCCCGACCCTAATCCTATTGAACACATCTGGGACGAACTGGATCGCCGTGTTCGTCAGCAAGTGAATCCACCACTGACGTTGCAGGACCTTCAACATGCTCTTGCTGAGCAGTGGCGACGTCTTCCTCGGGTAGTGTTTACTAATGTTCTGAGATCCATGAGAAGACGTTGTGTGGCAGTACGAGACGCTAGAGGAGGCCACAACCGTTACTAAACACTTTATTCCGATTGTTCTCCAAGTCTGTGAATTTCATTTTGGGGGGTACTGTGACATAACGAAAGTTATCAATGTCAAGGACTTTCGGCGAGACGTATTCTTGCTTTCTGTTGATGTCAAAGGTCGTCTGTGCACAACATAACACTAAAATAGTTGCCTTAAACCAAATATTAAAAATCTAGTCCCAAAAATCCCGAGTGTCAAGTTTTTAATTTGGATGAGTATATTATGATGTACAATTGGTTACTTCAAAGTACAGCAGTGGATTTGTAAAAATTTCTAAAACTTTGTGAAGTTTGAAATCTGTGTGAAGAATGTACCCTGTTACTGATATTCATAAAAAAACTATTAATATATTATTGAGTTTCATTTGGAACGTCTTGTTCATAAACATATAGCTCCTGATTTGGCGATTGTTCTTTAGATTTCACACAGCAGTTACATGTGAATTCTTTATCAAATGTTGGTGAAAGGGGAACATAAAAACAACATTTAATTTTACGAAGATATTTGGTGATAAAGGGAAGTTCATAAATTTTACTGTTATCTTCAAAGCCTTTCTTGTTCTTGTTTACAAGATTTTCTCGCCATTTTGAAATTCCACGTTCTTCAAGAGTACCTAAGTAAAATGGATTATAATTTAGTTTTAAAATTAAACAGATCACGAAATCCCACAAACTTTAAACCAAGTTTTGGTAAATTCTGTTTACATTTCCCCATTAGCAGGCCCGTTTGGATGGAGTTCATCGGATAACTGCATAATATGAGCATTGCATTAGCGATAGAAGCTGATGTCTTCTCCAGTTTTGACAGTATGGTCTTCCTTCATCGGTACCACTTTCATCGCCCATACTTCTTGCATGAGTTCGAGCAAAACATCTGCAGGGATCTTAGCATGTCGTCTTGGCAAGGTTACTTATTACAACCTTTGGTAATTGCTGCAAGACTGGTACCAAGGTCTTCTTCTCTGTGATGACAGAATGTATAGTCCCAGCCCCAATAAAATGTGCGCAAAATATACATTTTTTCGTATTGACACATTTGTTAAAATTTGTGGAATACAAATACTTTGATTTATAATTAATTCCCACTTACCTGGAACAAGATTATCCAGAATGCACCCAACAACACCACCAACAAACATAGATGTCCCCAATAATACAGTGCATACTTGATCCAAACCAGTTGAACCTATTAACATGAAATAGCATTTTAATATAGACCTTGATCTTTAGTGCTATGCCATGTTCCCTATAATTTTTAATAGTTAGTGTCCGCAAAAATCTGATGGTATGCAAATTATATTCTATTTGTACAAATGTCTATCTCTCATGCCTAATAAAACACAACTAAGATTACATTTACAAAGCAATGGGAGTTTCAACTTTAGTCATTCATTCATATACAAACCAGTCCCTTTGCGCTTTAAACCTTTCGTTTAACTTGAATTCGAAATGTTATAATAATATTGAAAAGTTTTTCTTAATAAAAACTCAAAATGTTATAAAATTGGTATGTGAAAGGGTAACTTGTTCATAACAAAGACTATTTCAATAAATTACATTGTTCTTGGACGTGTGTGTGTGGGCGAGGGGATGTATAAAATGTGCTACCTGTATGAATAGCATCAGGATTAGCTATGATCCATTGTGGTACCGCCATTCCTAACATTATAGATGTTCCAAATATAGTTAGATTTCGAGGAGAAGACATATCAGCAAACTGCAGGGATGAAATACCAACTGCTATGACCAAACCCAATAACACAGCATTTATTCCTCCCACAATAGGCTCTGGTATCAAGGTAAAAACAGCACCAACTTTCCCTATCACACCACATATTATTAATATAATCCCAGCTGTTATAAACACTCGTCTACTGGCAACCTGTTTAAATAAAATATAATATAACCCTAGCCGTTATAAACATTCGTCTACTAGCAACGTGTTTAAATATAATATAATATAATCCCAACTGTTATAGACATTCGTCTACTGACAACGTGTTTAAATCTATACTAATATTTGTGACTGTCGTTTGTCTGTCTGTTCGGGGTTGGCGGCTACACTAGGTCTGCCCCGAGTCTAACATTTGAGGTGTAGGGGTAGCTCGGACCGAGGAGTGACATAGGCCAGTTGGCGTTAGTCTACCACTTCCGGTTTCGGGGTTATGACCCCCGAGCGAAGCCGGGCATTCTTCTAGTATAATATAATCCCAACTCTTATAAACACTAGTCTACTGGCATCATGTTTAAAGATAATAAAATATAACCCTAGCTGTTATCAACGTCTACTGGCAACATGTTTAAAGATAATATAATGTAATCCTAGCTGTTATAAACACCCGTCTACTGGCAACATGTTTAAAGATAATAAAATACAACCCTAGCTGTTATCAACACTCGTCTACTGGCAACATGTTTAAAGATAATATAATGTAATCCTAGCTGTTATAAACACCCGTCTACTGGCAACAGTTTTAACGATATTATAAAATAATGTAAAACGTTGATATGAAACCTTATAATGCCGTCGGTTCCTAAGAAATAGGGAAATCTTTAGCGTAGAATAATTTCGGACACCTAATCTGGTAATGCAGTAGACCTATCAAATGCCAATAATTTGTATGCACAGAAACAAGAGAGATAGGGAGAGTGAACAACTTTATCGAATACTCAATAATATGGCATCCTGGGAGAATCATCTGGACCATTTGTTACTAATGGACTAGGGGTTTACACCCAAGTATTTCAATTTTGCACTAAAGTTTAGTGTTTTCCTTTGCTAATAGAAAATATAGGAAGACTATACAAAACCAGTAGCAAATATCCGGATAAAACACAAAGAATAAATATTAAACACAGAGAATACATATTATGGATTGTTACAGGGTTGTTGTGAGAATAACATGTCTAGTGCGCCTCACCGGCAGCCATGGAATTTTGTGCTCTGCAATGAATGTGTTATTTCTTCAAAATTAGTTGATTACTGCAAACGGAAATTTGTGACATATTGCTTTAGGTGACTTATATCAGTTTGTTACACAATAAATAACATTTCAATGTTTGGATTATGTATATTCTGTAGAAAACATATTTTCCTTTATGTTCGGTTAGTGAATTCTACTCATGCTACTTGTGTAGGTCGGTTCAAGCTTTCAATCCATCAGTGAATCAATGCATCTATTTTACTTTAGAGAACAGTCGTTGCATTTCAACTCACTTCATCATCTCACTCAAGATGTTTTCAATAGATTAAATGCTCTACATATTAGTGCTCATGTCAAATCTAAGAGATCTTATTCGAGTTTATAAACCTACATGGTGCCAGTTGGACCCTTTGCCGACAAAACTAATGCTGGAGTTCCTTGATACCATGATTCTTGTCATTACTAAAATTGTAAACATCAGTCTCGTAATAGGAACTATTCCTGCTATATTTAAAACTGCTGTTGTAAAACACCTTTTAAAAAAGTCAAATTTAGACAACAACCTTCTTAAGAATTACAGACATGTATCCAACCTGTCTTTTATATCCAAGTTCGTCTTATGGAGCATTTATACTCAAATAATTTGTTGTATAAATTTCAATCGGCCTATAAACCATTCCATGGAACAGAAACTGCTCTGAATTGCGTGCTTAATAAAGTTAATACAATTGCTGATCAAGGAAATGTAGCTTTGTTGATATTGCTGGACTTATCCGCTGCATTCGACACTATTGATTTCAATGTTCTTATCACCGGTCTCCGTGATGAGTGTGGATTAGACGGTATGGTATTAAACTGGTTTTAATCGTATCTATCAGGCAGGAGCTGTTATTATCAGAGGCTCGCATTCTTCGTCTGACTCCCTAAATTGTGGCGTGCCACAAGCATCAGTATTGGGCCCAAATCTTTTTACCATGTATACTAGTCAACTAGGCCAGATTATAAATGTTTTCAGCTGTCACACCACCTATATGCTGATGACACCCACCTAATTGAGAGCTTGCCTGTACTTTCACATTATCAAAGCCTGAATAACATTCAAACATGCATTGCTGCTGTAAAGTCCTCGATGTCATGCAATTAATTAAAACTGAACGATGACAAGACAGAGGCCATACTCATCGGTCCATCATCACGAATTTCCAAGATGTCAGTAGATCACTTTGGGGTTGGTGAAGTACAGATTGCGTTCTGTGATAAACTAAAAAATCTCGATGTGTAGTTGGACTCTAACAAAAGTATGCCCAGTCATGTAAACCATTTAACCAAATTATGCTACTAAATGTACCATCTTAGGAACATCACCAGCATCCGTCATATGTTAACGACAGAATCCACAGCAACCCTTGTACGATCATTAATTTTATCAAAATTAGATTACTATAACCGTCTTCTTACTGGCATTTCATCTGAATTATTACAAAAACTACAGAAGATTCTGCAGCCAGATTAGTTTCCAAATCACCCAAAACGCTCTAGTATATCTCCAATACTAAATTCTCTGCATTGGTTGCGCATAAGTGAAAGGATAGATTTCAAAAGTTTAACAGTTCTGTATCAATGCTCCTTCGTATTTAAATGAACGTGTTAATCCCTACCAGTCAATACGAGCTCTGCGATCCCAATCTCAACATTATATTACGGTATCGAAGTGGAAACTGAAAAAAATGTGTTTTTAAATCATTTGAAGTTTCAGCGGCTTTGAAGTGGAATGCCCTCCCTTTTCCTAAATATTAAAAACAAACTCTAAAACTTTGTGTGCTTTGAGCAGAATTTATTGTTTGGAGTTTTAGCGCTATATAAGAATCCTATTATAATATCAGCAATTTCTTTAATATTGCTGAAAATCTAAAACAAAATTTGGCACCTAGTTCCACATGAAAATGTCAGAAAATTAGAGGTAATGTAGAATATTCAAAACCAGTAAATCTCAACAATCTATTAACAATTCACAAAGATCTAATGATAGCAAAGTCCGGGAATCGCGATGAATTAACCACCAGAATTCGTCAAAAGTCAGTTTTGAAAACGTGTCTCTTGGGTGAAATTTTCACCAGAAATTGTATTCCATTTACCAAGCTGAACAGTTTGTCAAAGGGATACATGGGTGTGGCAAATGGGTATTAACAATACTTCGATATTAAAGAGCATAATCACGATTTTCCTTTTACACAATACGACCTTACAAACATACAAGGATTTAATCTATGAGATGTTAACAAGAAATTTATACAGTACCTTTGTGACGGCTATAGCTCCAATATTACCACTGTATGATGTAGTTGCGTGGCCAGCACCAACCATTCCTGATATTATACTGGAGAATCCTTCCATCGCAATACCTCTGTTAATGGCATGGGGAGGAACAGGTGGTGCTCCAGATATTCTAGCAGCAGCAAAATAATCACCAACTGATTCTATGATAGATGAAATAGTTGCTGCTAAGAGGCCAACATAACCGGCCCCACTTATTGTTGGCATTCCAAATTGAACTTTAAAAAAAAAACATATTTCATATATGACCACCAGACCACTATAGTAGCAGTTTCCGTAGTACCTGTATATCCAATGCTCTAAAGCTAAAGAGGTTACAATGTGAAGAGAGGGATAAATCCTTAATTTCTGATTCGAAGCTTCACACACTGAAGAGGTTACAGTCTGAAGAGAGGGATAACTCTTCAATTTCTGATTCGAAGCCTCTTTTTTGCTCCATACTGAACAGATCGGCGGATAGATTAAATATCTGTCCAGATTAAATATTCTTGTGCGTAATACTTATAGGGACGAGTTGCCCCACACCGCCCACACCTCCCCCTGTAAATTGTTTGGATTCTAGAGTCCCTAAAATGCCATGTCCTTGACTTTGGGGAAAAATTTTGCAGAGTTCCGATGGTCAGAAAACACTTATAACATGAGTAAAATACGTTTTAATTTCTACTGGGATTGAATATGCAACAAGTAAAAATTCTTAAGTTCAATAGACGCCTTAACATTTCATAATTTAAAGATTTTTCTTTATATATTTCTGAAACAACCCCCCCCCCCCCACATTCTTTTACCAATCCAGAAAGTAAAACTATGCTTCCGATAACTTCTTACTAACTGTTCGACAAACATTATTCGTATGACAATCAAAATTATATTTTGAAATATCAAAATCTTTGTAACAAGCTCTCTCAATTTCTTAGACCAACATACCCGTAACAGAATAAGAGGGATTTTTTAAAAACATACCAAGTGGACTAGGTTATTTTATACTATACCTTTGCAATGTAGGTACACTCATTCACACAAATACATATATTAAATATTTGGGATTTTCCCTTTTAATTTTGGCATTGTTTGTTTGCCTCATTAATTCATTGAGCCTGAGACCGACTGCAGTGAGCACTTATTTTGAGACCGACTATTTTGTTCCCCTCGGGGGAAAACATTCCTTAGGCCAACATACTCACAACAGAATAAGCGTGAAAAAACTTTTTTTTTTCAAGCATGACAAGTTGACAAGTTTATTTAATGCTATAGCTTTGCGTGAGTAGCGTTACGTATGCAATTTAGGTGCACGGATTTAGGCAAATACATTATTTGGAGTTTTTCCGTTCTATTTTGGCATTGTTTGTTGACGTCAATAATTCATTTAGTCGCCGATGCATAATATTTAGACCGACTGCACTTATTTTGCGACCGACAACTTTTTTTCCCGGGGGTGGAGGGGGGGGGGGACATTTACGCCCCTGAATACTTACAAGGATACGGAAAGTAAAACCAAGGAGCATTTTGTATAACTTGTAAATGTGTATCAGTTCTAGCAAAGTTTGTATAGTTAGCTGTATTGGGAGTAAAGACATCCGTTGTTGTTAAGATGTAGCAGAATAACCAGGATATACCAATAGCATACAGCACCTTGAAAAAATTTATTATGTAGCCTATATGAATTTACAAAAATAGAAGTTATTATCTCAGAAGCTAGACAGGCTCTAACGTTTCCACAAATTTTCGTTGCGTAGAACGCTTTCTACCACAGATGGAGCAACAAATGAGGTTCTTCATGAAAAACTTGAGATACACAAGCTGGAAGTAGAGATAAGTAAACATGCAATTTCAGGCCCTACATTTCAACCTAACCAACCTCGCAACCCTTGTATCCTTCCGCATCAAAATTATGAATATTCACCAAAACTTGGCAGAAAATGTATTTTCAAACCCATTTCTTCGATTCTACACCAAAAAGTCAACAAAAATCGCCATACAAAAGAGGGAAAAAGGGAAAGCGAGAGAAGACAAAAAATAGATTTGGCCCTTGTTACGTCGGCGTAGGAATATTTGGTTATCTGTGTCCAATTACCCTGTACATGTAAAACAGGGAGGTAACATATTTGTTTCCTGAGGTGGTCACTAGATCGGGATGTTCAAATTCAGGTTCATGCTTTCGCTCTTTTTAGCTATAAGTAGTGACACGTGGACTTTAGGAGGTGTACCAGATATCATTTCTCATTCAAACAATTGTATTTGTACTTACAGGAGCTAGCTGGAAGATTTTATATCTTGTCAAATGACATCTGTCGGATCTACTATAAGCTGGCAATGGAACGTTGATATTTCCAAGAAACATTGAAAATATTATTATAAGAACCAGAGTTCTGAAAGGACAAATAACCAAATCGATTATCACGAATATTCCTACTAAAATTCCCAACGTTGAGTTTAGTCCGATGATTCGATCAGAGCATTTCCGAGCACATTAAGAAAGTACACCGATAGTGAAACACAATCCGTGAATGGCAATTCAATCATCTCATAAAGGGAAACGAACATAAATAAAATCTATTTTTTTCTTTACTAGGGGGGTGGATGGTTGAATGGTTAGCATGTGCGCGCTGTATTATAAAGTCTGTCATTGAGTCAACTGGCGTGGTTTCGATTCCCTCGGTTGTATGTGACAAGAAGTAGGGTCGCCTGTCCAACCTCGTGGGTTTTCTCCGGGTCCTCCGGTTTCCCCCCACTGCTAAAGACCCCTACGCGCAAGCGAAATATGGAAATAAAATTAAACCATATGTTAGTCCCGAAATGAGCTAGTTTGTGTCGAGTGAACGTTAAACTCTCTCTCTCTCTCTCTCTCTCTCTCTTTTTCTTTACCATCCTGATGGTACATAATCCGCAATTGGAGGAAATGTAAGTAATGCATCTTTCGGTCACTATAAACATTTTAGTGGGGGTGGTATGAGCATTCTCGATGGTAATGTGTTCTCCATGATTTTGATGCAACTCACTAGAGAGAACATCCTTACCGTGGACCGATCCTCACCCCTCGCCATCGACGTGAACGTCTATAGTTTGCCTAATAACACCAGAACTGGCGACACAAGCATTGGAGAACTGTTTTTTTTCACAGATGAGAGTCGGTATTGCGTATCAACTGCAGATGGCAGGACCAGAATATTGCGTCGACGTGGCCAGCGTTATTCTGACCAATGTGTCATGGAACGAGACTCATGGGGAGGTCCAAGCATAATGATTTGGGCTGGAATCGGCCTGAACCAGAGAGTGGGTCCTGTGGTTTTCCAAAATCTTGGTCGAGGGAGAGGAGGCTGCATCATAGCAGTGCGCTACATCGATCAAGCTCTCAGACCCCACGTCATACCGCATTTCGCACGTCACCGAAACAACGTTTTCTAGCATGACAACGCCCGTGCCCACACCGCCATTCTACAGCAGAACGGGGTCAACGTTATGCGCTGACTAGCCCTTAGTCTTTAGTCCAGACATAAACCCGATTGAACATTTTTGGGATGAAATTCAGAGGAGACTTAATAACGTCGTACCGACGCTGCGCTACTGTTAATGACACTCGCGGTGGATACACCAGATACTGATGTATAGACTGTGTACAGACTCTATACCATATAGTAAGTCGTTTTTTTAGAATGATTTAAATAAAGTGCCTCTCTGATTTTGAAATCGTACTGACGTTTTTTTTACTGTTTAATATGAAAATTCTCCTTCTGACTGTTTCAAATATGGACAATTATTAATGTTCTTAGGTCCTATATACATGTACTTACAAAAATGCTATTCCCCAATGATGTTGTGAGAAATCTATAACAACGCCGGTTAGAGATAACCCAATTAAAGCTATGGTTGGTGCTATGGTTAATGGTCCTATAAATTTTAACAAGAAACCAATTGCTCCAGTTCCACCCAGAATAACTTGCGTTAAAGAGGCTAACATCAGATTACCCTGTATCTGAAATAGAATCTTTTAGTTGATTATGGGCCTATCATGTGAATAGTCTAAACAATAATTTTGTAAGAGCTAAATCTACCCAATGCATATCTTTCGTTTGACCTCAAATGTTATATAAATCATTAATTAGGCAATATTTATATGCCATGCCCATAGTCACAGCTCGACTAGGCCATCGGATGCTTTTGATTTTCAGCAGATTTAATCACGATTGCTAGTTAATGATTTAATTAAAAATGGATAATCGGGACTACAGTATTTATTCTAATAGCAGTAACTATGTCTAGAATGAAGTAACTTGGCTGAAATTTTCAACATGCTCCCTTTTCATTACATCTCAGCTCTTTATCTAAATCTTACATAATGTATCTTTAACATTTAAAGTCAGAAACACGCAAAGCAATAGCCTAATTCAGCTCTCGCATCATGTGTCTTCAATGAATGGTTGGACATGCACATTAATTCAGTTCGACACTTTGCGTTTATTCGGTATCGTTTCACGACAAGAAAAAAAAGAAGAAAGATGTATTGCAGATAAAGTTAATTATAAATAATATCGTACCTCTCTCATTCTGATCATCCAGGCAGGGTCGCTGATTGTTGTATTGGCTTCTATAGAACCTGATATGCATCAAAATAAATATCAACGACATGGGCATAGATTTACGTTTAAACATCGGAATACATGTAGTACTTATTAAAGGAGATATAATAAAAACACAACTGTCACATCCACATTATCGGTTAAAGGGTGTATCGCTCTTTTCTTTTAAATCTTAAAATAGACAAAAATTGGTCTAAAAGCACATATTAATGTAGTATGCGTGTACATAATGTGATTTACATGGTTGTTTTAAATATTGGATATTAGGATCCTATATTGTTACGGTAAGATAAAAAAAACATCAATTTTTATTGAAAGGAACCAATATTGAATTCTAATTCGTATTATTAATTTCAAATGTTATGGATAATACTGAGTTAGAGGTTTAGCCCCTTGAAGGTAATGCGGAATTGAATATTTAATATTAGAAGAATTACCTTCGGCTGGACAACGCCACTGATCTAAAGCCATCATCGCAATGATTGGTGGTATAAATGTATGCGAACCGCCTTGAACAATCGGCAATCTGTTGAAAACAAAACGACAAATAAATCTAACAATAACAGATAATAAACGTGTGTAAATATTAGCCACTATCAAAAACAGAAATAACCTACAAGAAACAACTAACAACCATCTGATCCCAACAATTAACCCAACATAACTTACCTCACGCCAAAAACATCTTGTAAAATAGTGGCCACACCACACATGAAGAAAGTTATACTCAGAAATTTGGCGCGAACATCTGGTAGATCTTCTGCACAAATCTGATTGACGATCAGAAAAGGTATCGATAAGGTTCCCGTTATACATATTATTGCTTGCTATAAAATAAAATTAAAATAAGTAGAAACATATAATTGATCAAAAAATTAAATGCAGTGTAGAAATACAATGTTATGAATAACACGTGTTCAGGTCTTTTTCATCGCTCGAGAGAAATTGATCTCATTTATTGTTGACAATTCTTTAATGTTCTGGGATTACCAGGAATTTCCGAAAGGGACATATTGGTGGATTTGGTTATGCCGCTAACGGTATATTCCAGCTTTCCATTGATAATGTAATGGTGATAAATTTGTGTCAATTGCTAGTCATTCATTCATTCATTCATTCATTTAAATCATTCATTCATTTAATCATTTCTATCAATCTTATGTTTCTATTAATCCTCCATTATAAATTAGACGTTATTAATCTGAAAGCCAGCACATTAAATATGCATTATGTAAGAGCTAAATATGCCTATTGCAAGTCTTTATTTTGGCTTCAAATGTAGACATTCATAACATGACACGGCCATAATCAACGCTCTAGACCATCGGATGGCAAAGACGTATATGGACAATACATTTATAAACATACATTTAAAGTTTCACCAAAATCGGATAAAAATTGTGACCTCTAGAGTGTCCACACTCAGGGGCCATAATCAATGTAACGGATAGGGGCTACGACAATATACGTCCACATGGAAATGTGGGCGTATCAAAAACATTAACGATGAAATGGATATTCGAGACTAAGTTTGGTTTGTTCAGTACCCTTGTTACGATAATAAACAATCTATAAGCTACATCTTCCAACACTCATAACTTCGCTCAGTATAAAGTAATCTGTATGAAATTTTTAATATACATGTATCCATTTTTGTATTATCTATTTCGATCTCCTGTAGCAAGAACGATTAGCTCTATATATAAATCTTAAATAATACACCTTTAATGAATTTAATTACTCTCTTTTTGTTTTATTGTAATGTCTTATATTTTATAATCTGTCCTCTTATAAGTTTTATTAGTAACGTTAGTGTATTAATTCCCCGTTAATTCCAGTCTCTAATTATTACCGAACACTCTTACAATCCCCACAACTAAAGTTAAAACCAACTCTTTAGCGCTCAATCTCACTATCTATTAAATATTAAAGTCTCAATGAGCCAGATATCTCAAAACGTCAAGAATATGTAATATTTTACGTTAAATTCTTTAGCAGACTGTGAAGCTAACAAAAATATTATTAGGTTATGTTTAAAATTTCTTAGAATGATATTGTGGAACATTTTAAATTAACCATTTTATTATTTGCAGATACATATATACATTGAAGGTATGTGTTTATCACAGCTAACTTTGTTATGCGGTAAGTAAAGTGCTCGATCATTTATCTAGAAGTATTTTTTATTTATTTATGTATATATACTCAGCCAAATTAAAAACTTGACACTGATGAATTTCAACAATTTTTTTTTTTCTGGTAAGCCAAATAAATTTTAAAGTTTTTCTAACGATAGTAAGTAGTAAGAAGCCTTTAATTTCATAAAATTGTAAAGTCACGTGGATCACGTGACTTTTGAGCATATAAAGATGAAAAACCTGAAAAACACGTGCAAACACAAACTCGTGAGGTCAATCGATGCAAGTTTGCTTAAACTGAACACGCACACGTAACTTGAACTGGAAAAACAAATTAAAATTGTTATTTTCATCTTTGTTAGAAAATGCCGCGCCTTTCAAATGTAGAACGTCTACGTGCTATATGTAGGCTCTATGCTGGTCAGTCTGTGGTCACTGTTGCAAGAGCCTTTAATTGTTCACGCCAGACAATAATTAATCTTAGAATGAGAGTGCTTCAAACTGGAACTATTGCCGACCGCCCAAGGGCGGGAGCGCCACGTGTGACGTCACTCCAGGAAGATCAAGCAATACGATTACGTCATCTTAGAAAAAGATTTGTCACTGCAACCTCCACAAGTAGAGAGATGTTTGGTGAAAGGGTAACTGCACAAACTGTTCGAAATCACTTGCAGGCTGCTGGTCTTCGAGCTCGGGGGCCCTATAATGGACCAATATTGTCACCTTTTCATCGCCGTAACCGACTTGTGTGGGCCACAAGACACGTAAGATTTACTCAAAGACAGTGGAATTCGGTTGTCTTTAGTGACGAATCTCGATTCACTTTGAGATTTGCCGATGGCAGAGCCCGAGTATACCGCAGACGAGGTGAACGTTACACTCAAGTATGCGTCAGAGAAGTTGACCGATTCGGTGGCGGCAGCGTCATGATTTGGGGTTCTTTTTGTGCACATGGAAGTTTTCCTCTTGTTGTTGTCCAAGGGAACTTAAATGCTGTTTAGTACAGGGATCAGATTTTGCAACCTGTTCTTCCGTTTATGCAGAGACATGGGCCTGGACTAACGTTTCAACAAGACAATGCTCGACCCCATACAGCAATTGCTACCCAGAATTTTTTAAGAAATGCCGGTGTCCAAGTCCTGGATTGGCCGTCGCTTAGCCCCGACCGTAATCCTATGCAGGACCTTCAACATGCTCTTGCTGAGCAGTGGCGACGTCTTCCTCGGGTAGTGTTTACTAATGTTCTGAGATCCATGAGAAGACGTTGTGTGGCAGAACGAGACGCTAGAGGAGGCCACAACCGTTACTAAACACTTTATTCCGATTGTTCTCCAAGTCTGTGAATTTCATTTTGGGGGGTACTGTGACATCACGAACGTTATCAATGTCAAGGACTTTCGGCGAGACGTATTCTTGCTTTCTGTTGATGTCATCTTTGTCTGTGCACAACATAACACTAAAATAGTTGCCTTAAACCAAATATTAAAAATCTAGTCCCAAAAATCCCGAGTGTCAAGTTTTTAATTTGGCTGAGTATATATACATACACATTGTTGACATAGGTAAATGTGTAGCTTATATGTTTGTATTGGTTAAACCTCAATCAGATTTAGGACATCACTTATATAGTAGCATACAACATTCAAATATCACTTATGATCATGTATTTTATGATACGTTATGGTCTCCAGTTTTGGAGCCATATAAAAGAGATAGCCATTCTGTTACCCAATATATAGAATAGAATATAATTTTATTCCATCGAAACGTCTTCTCAGGACAGCATACAATAATATGGACGGGCATAAATTCAGAGCACTCACAAAAATATATAAAACCTGCATACATGGTACATATTATGTGAAAGTACGAAACAAAACGTAAAACGTATAAAAGCACATGACCATACGGTATAATACCCAAATACAGGGTATATAATAATAATATGAAAATACAAAAACAAAAGACGTGCGCACATAAAAGACAATAAAATATCATACAATTTAACATTTCCGCAAAAGATAGAAGTAGACTTGTGGTGATAATACTCGGTGGATTTTCAAATGAAAAGGTTATAGACCAATAATGTCAAGGTTTGAATATATATATTGTTTTCTTAAATCTTCATATTTTTCGCATTCCATAAGAAATTGTTGTTCAGATTCAATTTTGTTTGCATTGCATTTTTTTTACAGAGGCGATCCTGGGGTGGTATCTTAAGATATCTGGTTTATGGTTCGGTCCGCAAAATGCAGCAAGGAGATCGTTAAACTTACTTTCTATTGAACTTTTAATATTCTGTCTCGAAATTGTTATTAGAGAATTGTTATATTCTTTGAAGATATTTTAGATAGCCGCATATTATACCAAGAGAGTTTTTGGTTTGATTGCGAGATTTTTATGTCTTCCTGGTATTCAGAATTCAATAACGAATTACTTAAGGTATTGCTATTTTCATTTAGCCTTTTATAGTACTTAGTCATTCTTTGAAGTATATCGATATTAACAGGAAAAGTTCCTAATGCGGCCAAGCAGCCTATATTCGATGCTTTTAATGGTTGTGTAAGGTTAGATTTACATATTTTAACGGTCATTTTATTCGTATTTATTTTATCCCAATTTGCTATCTCAAACTTTTTTGAGTGTCATTGAAATAAATGGAATGACAGTTCTACAAAAGATTTTGTGGGTCAATGGGTCATTTTTTTAACCCAATCACAATGGAAACAATAGTTGATCAGATCCAAACGCTATAGTATGACCCTGGGTGTAACCCAACTTTAAACCGGACATTCAACAGCACTTCTCATTTGAGGAGTTTACATGACTATAACAAATCGTTGTCGTTAAGCTTCGTCCAATCAACAAAAGTAAAAAGAATGTCAAATTTGGTGACCAATATACTGAAGAGTTTGTCTTAACTTTCAAGAATTTGTTCAAAAATAATATAGAGATCCTACACATTATTGGAAAAACAAGTACATATATCGGGCTTCATTCTGTCTTTGACCAACTATGCCTAATCATTAGGGTATATTATATTATTTTAAGGAATCTGAATCACTGGGGTACTGGGCGTGAGAATCTAGCGACTGGCGTATACCTGAGTTTCAACCGGGGAGGAACGCAAGGAGTTCTCAGAGTAGGACTCTGTTCCGATTGTCTGAAATCAACTTCGTCCCCCAAATGTCAACATCATCTGTATTAACCCACTGCTGCTAGTCAATTTGTTTTCAGCTCTGAAGCATTTTCCCGACTACTGACTATACTAAAACAGTATGAACAATCAATCCACCTTAAATAAAAGTTTAGATTTATGATCAGTAGTATAAAATCACGCTTAACATAACGTAATTCTTACCTGAAAACCAAATACAGGTAATAAATAAAACGGGGGGTTATCTTCTACACCATATAGCATTGGTTCATCTGTTTGTTCTTCTGTGTGTGATTTATGGTTTATCTCAACTCCATTTTTCTCTATCCGTCCTGTATCTCTCGAAATTTCATATCTCTTAGACATTATTTCTCCTTTAGGTAATGCTTGAACCGGGTACAATACTATACTACATGACACCTTCGATGTGCTAGGAAACTTGAGTTAAAGATGTTTATCCAACCTTGACGTAGGTAAATTTAATTTTAAAATGAATTGCTTTCAGATTTAAATTTGATGGTAATGTACAATATAATGGTTATTAAACCGTGGATTTGACATTCTTTGCAAGTAAAATGAATGGTAATTCATACATAACACTCAACACTTAAATAAATAAATGATAAAAAGTTAGTGGTTAGTGAACTGGTCTCACATTCAGTTGACCGAGACGTTTGTACGACATACCTTGTGTTCATCGCCTAATTTAAAGTGAACACATATGTTTTATTAATCGTAGAAAAAATATTTAGAGTGCAGGGTTATATAAATATAATAATTTATCAAAATGGTCAATATAATGTTCAAAGCATTTTAAAATGTAGATGCTAAAAGGTGTGTTTTCGATAAACTGGCACCCTGCAAGTATTATACAGCATTTACACCAAAGAGGTGTAATTATTAATGATTTATTAAAAATTTAAAAATGTGGTCAATATAATGTTCAAAGCGTTTTTAAAATGTAGATGCTAAAAAGTGTGTTTTGGATAAACTGGTACCCTACAAGTATTATACAGCATTTACACAAAAAAGGTGCAATTATTAACGAGGAAACATAATATATAGCCTAGTACTTTTTGCTTAAAGATTCAATCGCTCCGAATCTCTTGGAAGTTTACATAAGTAGGCGTAAATTATAAAAAGCCGCATTTTTCATATGCACCTTAGAATATGCAATGCTATACATGTAAAATTTAAAGGTTTCTTCTTCGATATTTCTGTATATTCTAACACTTGTTATCAGTTACAGTATAGCTAATAAAATGGGTCCAACAAACTCAAATCGAGTCAACAATATCCGTTACATTATATAGGATTGCTCATTGCATAACAATAATTGCCCCAAAAGGGTATACAAATATTACCTTTTCTATAGTTTTCAATTTCATTCTATCAAAAGGTTACCAACGCTTAAATGTGGAAGGTATGGTTATGGGCATATGGTATTATACTCAGTAAGGAAGATATCATTAACACAGTATATAAGGGAGAGGTTGACATAATTCTTTCAGAAACCTTGTTTAAAGTAAAACATCGACTTAAAGGGACAATAACACCCTTGCTGGCGTGACAGCTCCAGAAAATAAAAAATAGCCTTATTCTAAGTACTAGATATGTTAGTGTCCTACTTGTTGTGTAAATTATCCATTAAATCCTATTTTACTTGTCCAAAGGGTTCAAAAATATTTTTAAATCCAAGTCACATTTGAAAAGCTTTACGTCGGGCTTTTCAAATCATTTAGTTGAATTTTTCCAATTTTTTAAATTAGGTGTGTTAAGATGAAATTTGTATCATCAATTAATTGGAATATTGTAAAATAGTACAATTTGTTGACCAGAATAAAGATTGGGACATATTATTCAGTTACAACAAGAGTGGTATTGAGCCTTTAATCTGCGCATATTCCCTAACAAACTATATTAGATCATTGTTTGATGACGGTGAAAATATCATCATTACTAATAAACTTAAAGGTGTCGGTATTATTATATATTGCTTTCACTAAATTAATGTCCTTTAAAGATACTGGGAGGTTGGATTGCCGCATGGTTAGCATGTGCGCGCTGTATCATAAGGTCTGTCATTGAGTCAACTGGCGTGGTTTAGATTCCCCAATTGTACGTGACAAGGAGTAGGGTCGCCTGTCCAACGTCGTGGGTTTTCTCCGGGTCTTTCGGGTCTTTCGACGCGCATGCGAATTATTAAAATAAAACTGAACCGAGTGTTAGTCCCGAAATGACCTAGTTTGATGTCGGGTGGACGTTAACCCCCCCCCTCTCTCTCTCTCTCTCTCTCTCTCTTCTTTAAAGATACTATACATCCTTCCAACATTTGATTTGTCCTTATAAGTTAACAATCAAGTTCATTTTTTTATATCAAATTTTCTATCGAAATGATCTAGTAAGGTCCCACGTATACGAATTTGAATGAACGAATACAATGCATGGACACGTGGTATCAGGTATGTTGTATTTTATACCAGCGTATTCATTCTCAGATTCATACTATTAATGCTGTTGGTCGCGAAAATTCCTCGAGGTTTCCGATGTGGTTCCCCAGGACGGAAGGGCTGGAAAGGACAGTATCTAGTCGTTCGGATCGTACGAAAAACTGAAGTCCTGTGTACACATTGGCGTACGCGTAAAATAACCCTTGACAGTTGGAATTCGAAATAAGATAAACCGTAGTGTCGCTGCCCGGTAAAAATTACATTAACAGCACACTGTATATGCCTGTTTTCATTAGTCCAGGCATTTTAACTCAATTTCGCATCATTCCAGGCAGTTACTTCAATAGAGATGCCGACCACGGTTTATGGTCGGTCTATACGTATATTATCACCCCCAAAAAAGGATATATTCCCATTATTGACTCCGCGGTATAATTAATAACAAAGATGTGTATGGAAATGGATTCAGTTACGTATATTTTGATACTTAACTCGATCCTATTATGATAATTGGTGGAAATTTGAATTTACAAGCCAAAACCGACGGCCATTTTGGATTTTGGCCAATTTGACCCATATGGACACGGATTTCGGGCTGGGGCCTTTTTTGGGTGGGGGGGGCGGTAATATACGTCTAGTCCGATCATAAACCGTGGTTGGCATTTTTATAGTAGCAACTATCCGCACTTACACTATCTTGCCTGGACTAAATAGGACGTTAAACTCATTTCATTTCATACTGGTAGATCTTTAAGAAGAGGATACTACCAGTCCATGCTTTTTATAATATTGTATACAATATTGGTAATACAATATAACGTACACAGTGTATAGTGTTGGCCTATTTATTCAGATGTCTACTACAACCCTGTTATTGTATGATGATGTTTTATCAAAAGACTATTTTCCCTAAAGCTTAGGTTAAAATGAAACTGTGTCATTCAATACTAATATTGGCTGTGCTTGTGCAAAATAAAGTTGATTTAAGGGTTTCGTTTATAATTTTTTCAGATTGGAGGATTTAAAGTATATAGTTATCTTTCATTACAAAGATTTTGCATTTCAAACATCTTCGTGTGTACAATGCCCTAAATCCAATTTCAGTTTAAAATTGACAGATCAGACTCAGGCTCTATAGGACACAGTTTATATTTCCAAATATTTTAAAAGACATTTATATCTCAAAACAAAATAATACATCAATTTTTAACTATTTTGATGGGATAGTTATCTTCAAATAATGACTATTCTTGAATTACATAAGATTTGGTTGAAAGACGCTATGTGTATATAACCCTTTAAAGAGACATTCTGTAAGATTTAGATAAAGAGCTGACATTTCTCTTTATAAATAGAAAATGAAAACGGAATATATTGAACATTTCAGTCAAATTACTTTATTCTAAGTGAATGTTGAACGTTTTGATAAGAATAGTATAGTCTCGAATTTCATTGCTATGCGATGATAGACAAAGTCTCAATTGTCGGGTTTTAAATTAAATTATTAGCGAGAGAGAGAGAGAGAGAGAGAGAGAGAGGGGGGGGGTAACGTCACCTCGACACAAAACTAGGTCATTTAGGGACTAACCTATGGTTCACTTTTATTTCAATAATTCGCTTGCGCGTAGTGGTCTTTAGCAGTGGGAGAAAACCGGACGTCCCGGAGAAACCCACGAGGTTGGACAGGCGACCCCACTACCTGTCACGTACAGCTAGGGATTCGAAACCACGCCAGTTGACTCAATGACAGACCTTATGATGCAGCGCGCACGTGCTAACCATTCGGCCATCCAACCCCCCATTAAATTATTAAATGACGATCGTGTTTCAATCTATTAAAAATCCCGACCATCCGATGTTAATAAATGTCTAAATAATAGTTTATATTTTGTGGCGAAACAAGAGACCTGCCAATAAGCAGACTTAGATCTTAAATAATTCATCTTTAAATAGTAAATACATGAAATAAAACTTATGTTTACCTAATGCACGTTGTTACAATACGTTTAAACTTCCATCTGGTAATATGATAATTGATGGTAGTGGATGTTTGTCTTGCGATATTCCAATTATGGGTATGTATGAAGCACACCACTTCTGTACATTTTTATAAAATAGACTATATTTTCGGGCTGGTTATTTAAACTTCCTGTATAAATATTAGAAAACCGACCCACATACGATAAGATTATATAGATAGGTTGTACACACAGATAATCTTAGCCGGGTCATCGATATCATCTCAACATAAACAGCTACACATAACATTTAAACATATCTATAAGTATTGTTAATTATGAAAACCAATGTCGTCTGGGTTGTTGTGACTAATTCCCGTGTCGATTTAGATGTTTTCAATTTTTCAGTTACTAACAACCGTATAATGCCCCCGTCAGGCCGAAGTGGCGTCCTTACTGCGCTGATGCGACCGTACGGCGACCAGAAAGTGAACAAGGTCGCCGGCAACATGAACACACCGCGAGAACGTGTACCAAAAATTACGAACTTGAACTTTCCAGGTGAGATCGCAGAACCTTGGCGTTTGTTTTGCACATGTTCAAAACAAACGCCGTGACCACGGAGACCAGACCACGATATCTGGCTTTTCCACCTCGCTTTTACCACGCACATGGCGATCTTGACGAGCTCTTCGACCATTTTCCGTTGCCGTAGCAGCGCAGTAAGGACGCCACCTCGGTCTGACGGGAATATTTCCCAAACTAGAAATGATAATATTTAATGAAAGGATTACACAACTGTTATCTTAATATTATTTCGGACCGGTAACCCCGGAACCGAAGGTCGTAGAGCGCTAAAAATGGAAAGGGTTTATCCACCTCATAACCCCAGTGCTGCACACGAAATTTGAAAGAAATCCGTTTGACAATTAAGGGGTAACCCCGGAAAGAAAACAGAATATGGATAGCGTTCATCCTCTTATGTCTCCAATGCTTCACATCAAATTTGGAAATAATTTGTTATAAACTGCATCCTCTATCGCATGCAAAGGGATTTCGGCAAGGTTTCATAATATTGATAGAATTCATCCTCTCATGACCCCAATTTGAAATAGAATCTGTTGTAAACTGCAGCCTCTATAGCTACCTACGAGATATACTGATGTGTTTGATTTAGCTAAGATTGGATGCCTTTAGTTTCCCCTGGCAAATTTAATTTCTTTATTAATGCATGTTATAAGATAACTGTATACTATTAGGACTAATTGAACTAAACATACCCGGCCCAGTGTAGTGACATAACTTTCGCTTGCTGCAAATATTGTCAGTTAAGTTAATCAAGCGGTTTTTTTTAACCGAAGACCATTTATAGTAAACGGTGCAATATTTATAAAGTCCAATATATTCTGGAACTCTTGTGGTGAAAAACACCACAGAATAATATTTTGTAGAATATATTTTCCCCACACCTTACAAGATGATAGGATAAACTATTATTGTTCCAGCAAAATAAAAAGAAAATGTTTCATAAATTTTTCATGGTTCACTTTTCCAAACACCCCCAAACCTTGCCATGTCTATCACCCATCGCCATCGACGTGAACGTCTACAATTTGCCCAACAACACCAGAACTGGCTACACAGGCAGTGGGGGGCTGTTCTGTTCACAGATGAGAGTCAGTATTGCGTATCAACTGCAGATGGCAGGACCAGAATATGGCGTCGACGTGACCAGCGTTATTCTGACCAATGTGTCATGGGACGAGACTGATGGGGAGGTCCAAGCATAATGGTTGGGGTGGAATCGGCCTGAACCAACGAGTGGGTCCTGTGGTGTACCAAAATCTTGGTCCAGGGAGAGGAGGCGGCATCACAGCAGTGCGCTACATCGATCAAGCTCTCAGACCCCACGTCATACCACATTTCGCACGTCATCGAAACAACGTTTTCCAGCATGACAACGCCCATACCCACACCGCCAGTGTTACTCGGGGCTTTCTACAGCAGAACTAGACTGGTTGGAGAAGGTGACAAATCCAGCTTTGTGGGAAAAAATTCCTACCCAAATGATTTCTTCATTTTCTGAAACAACTATTTCCCTAGTGTTCCAGAAAAATTTTCCCCGCGGATCGGAGTTGAGCAAAATTTTTTACAGCACTTTGAACTTTTCACCCCCTGGGTCAACATAATGAAAATGAAAACCATTTATAACTTTAAAAATATCAATTTTACAGTCTAGAAATGTATTATCAACATAAAGGAAAGTGATACCAAGGAATCCAGAAATGACGTCAAAAGTAACGTACGACCAAAGCCGTATAATATTATAGATAAAGTTGCGACAATTGTGAAGCCAGAAATTTCATATGACGTCATGAAAATATGACCTCAAGTGTAGTTAGACGCCATCTTGGGTCCCAAGTATTTGTACCTACTCACTATCTATTTTATTGTTGTGTCGAAGTTGGCTGCCCCCGACAAGTATGTATATAGATATGTCATAGAATACATTTTTTAAACGAAAAGTACAGCTGAACAAACTATTATTATTATTATTATACAGAAAGCGCACATTATTGTTATAAGAATAGTCTAATTCATAAGAAAGTGAAATAAAAGATACACCAAATAAAAGCGCAATTAAATTGCATACGCTTTTAAAAATCAGATTTTTTGTGCAGACGGGTAAAGTGAAAAATGAAAATTTAAATAGTAATTTGGGAGATACAACCTTTTTGCCTTCTAGCCGGCAAATTCCATGATTTTTGGTCTGGAGTCATTCCGGATTGTGTGTCAGTTTTCAGTCATCAATCATTAATTGTATCATCAATTTTTCGAAAATAGAAATTTCTTTAAATTGACTAATGGATAAAACATTTAAAATCAGTGTAACTTAAAATCAGTGTAAAATCCGTGTAATTCAAATAAAAGGTGTCTAGCGTGACATGTGTTTCAGGCATATCGCTCTCCGAAACTTTCTGGTTTCTTTTGCAATTTGTTTGGGGTAAGACGTTATCACTCCCCGCCCATGGGTAAATAATAATATTAATCTAATATATAAACCGCAAAAATTTAACAGATACAAATAATGTACATGTTATTCCACGGGTAGACAGATATTGAAGGGGCCCAGTGAAGGACTCTTTTGGCTATTTGCGCCCCATTTCCAATGAAATAATCATGTTGTTCTGATGCTCAACTAGTATCAAATATATATCGTGTCTGAGATTTGTTACAAATCGCCTCGAACATGTTCCACACATCTCAATTTTTATCAGCTTTTTTTTCAATCTATAAAAGCCTATGACATACATTCCTACAAAATTTTGTGTTTAGTTGTTTAGTCAAGTGAAACAAGAAAACGCATAGGCTAAATGAAACAATAGAACAAGTATACCTTTATTATGTCGACAAATACGTAAAACTATGAAATAAGATACTTCTAAGATATGATTCAACCGAAAAGTCCTATATATGCAACATAGATATAAAATATCTACATTCAAGTTAAACGAACTGCATCTAATCATTTTAAATACCGGTATAGCGTCGAGCTGAATAAAGGATATGATTTATTGTCATTAAAGGATCTATGGGTGGTTGGTAAACAATGTGTAACTAAAAACTATGATATTATCTTTATTGCCAACATTTCAATGTACCTAAAATGAATTATCGCTGCCCTTTTATTACCAAATTAATGTTGTTTTTTTCATTTTCATTTTTATTTTTTAAAATGATATTCTTTTACCAAATTTGGCAGTCATATTGAAAGAAATGCCCGCCACCAAATGACAAATACATTTTTTTTATTGATGTTTGTCAAATTCGATTTTTTCCACACATTTCGCTTGCATAACCACTCTCCGAAAATTCCTGAAGAACACCAAATTGAATTCTGTTAATCATGTCATTTTGGCCGAATTTGAGTATGATTTCGTCTGACATATTTATCATTGAACCAAACTGCATTGGTTACTTTTGCAATTTGTTTATGATGAACTGTAGCCCGTAAAACGTTATACCAAGAAAAAATAAAACGTTTTGTTAAGTAAAGCTATATGACGCCATGACGTCATAGTTTTTATGGCGTTATAGTTGGGACACCAAAATGGCGCCTGTAAATGAGTTGTCGTAACTTTCCCTATACAGGGCTTTGCGTACGACGTTACCGTGACGTCAGAATAAAAAATGGCGGAACTATGACGTCAATGTGATGTCAAAATTCAAGATCGTTGACCACTTGATTGATAAGACGGATTTTGTTTTCAGTGTTGGCCAGAAACTGGGCTTGACTATAGATAACTGTGGTGTCCGATTTCAGAGAAATGTCACTGCTCCTATATTTAGACGTAGCAGCTCGGCGCTCGTGCTCATGATCCTTAATATTTGGTTTATAGACGCTGAACACGACGATTGGCGAGGGACCTGAAGCCAGGTGTTAAAGTTCAAGGCAAGACAGTGCGAGTGCAACCAGAAGTTCTTTTCCAAAGATGTATTACGGTGGCACAGCGCACAGGTACAGATATTCAACAGTTCTTCAAATATGAGTTGAGTGCCTTCCCGTCCTCACTGTTTGCAGGAGCTTTCATGCGACATGTAACCAAGTCCGATCTCGCTGAGCATTTGCTCAAGAACGTTTCACCCGTTTCGAACACTTCGCTCGCCAGTGAAATAACTGTCATTGATGGAGGTCTGCTAATCAACTTTGTAAGGTGGAATAAGGGTACGATTATCTCCAACATCTTAGAAAACTATCGGTCATTTGTAAAAAGATTTCCCTCGCCAATAGTCGTGTTCGACAGCTATGAACCAAATACGACAATTTGGTGAGGGAAATCTGGTTGTTTCGGATTCGGTAAATTGGGACTTCTTAAACATACGAACAGTGACATCTTTCAGGAAGCTAGCAAGACAATAGCTTCACCTGGAAGTTCCCAGTTCGAAGTATCTGAAGCTGGGGAAAGGTTATTCTGTGCAATGTCAATGTATGGTCACAAAAATGAGATATCTCCGACTAAAGTCCGGTACCTAAGGTACAAAGCTATGATCGCTGAAAACATTTCCATTCAAATCAATAGACTTCACCCAACAGCTGCTGCGGCCGAGCAGCATGCTCACCGCATTCATGTTCAGGTTAGAATTTGGGATGAACTAGACGATGGCGTCGATCCTGTGAATTGGGTTGGCAAGTGATAGAGAATAGATACGTTCCCATCGCGACTATTCTTCCAT